CGATGCCATCGGCGAGAATGACGAAGACGGAGTGGGGGCCATCGCAGGCAAGCGAAATCCTCATGATGTGAAAAAGGGAGTTTGCTGACGTGCGTCGAAGCACCTAGGCTTAGCGTTGCAGTGCACACTTCACACGATCGCACAACCACACACTTGGCTAGCCAAACACCATGTGGGCTGCGTAAAGAAAACGGCGTGAAGGTAGGCGACGATGCCTCGGGTACTCTGGAGGTGGCGCTGGTAAAAATTCAAGATAGCCAGCATGGCCAGACCAAATCAGTGTGTGACGGTTAGTTCTAGTTCGAAGTGGTGAAACGCTTCGCGAAAGCGCTGCGCGGGAAGCCAGAGTGGCACGCACGAGCACAAGTGCTAAAGTGAAAGGAGCTTTATTGGCACCAAAAAATTTCCGGGTGGATAGTTTCGACTGTCAGCGAAGCACCTTTGCACGATAAACACTGCCAGTGTTAGGAATCTAGGAGGCCGTGTATGTTTCTCCGTTAACGATCAACGAGTTCAAGCAACAGATGCCGCCACAGTACACCGGCGCGCTCATTTATGCGATCGTAATCACGTGTGACGCAGTTGTAGTGGTTTCCACTGGAGGTCAGTGGTGGTTTCCGACCTTCCGTCATGTCAAAAAGTCCGGAAAATTGGACTCCAGGGAATTCGAGCCTCCAAAATTTCAGACTTCCTTATACATTGATTTTATGGGGCTCGTGGCGGTGCCGCGAAGATGTCCGAATTATCGGGCATGTCCGAAAATTCGGGTGTCCGAAAAATCGGCAGTTGACTGTATGCTCTCGATAAACATGTGGAATCTAAAGGCCACCAAGCTGACGGGCCAAGTGCGTGTGTTCTGGCCAAAAAAGAGCTTGCATCATGCCTGCACTTAGAATACCAGCACATGCAGACAACTGTACATATGCTGAACAGAAGTGATAAGATGCTTCCGACAATGTACTTTCAGTGCTTATGTCACGTACTTAGGCATACTTCAATACGCTGTACCTTTCTCATGGCTATCACTGTGAATAAGGCTCCCATAGCGGGTGCCATGATGTCAGCAAACATTGTATTTTTTCGGTAGGTGTATCCTTTCGCGCCTTCACTAAGAAGCAACAGTTGCGCACTGATTTTTTTTTTCACACATCTTTTAACTGTTCACTGTAGCTGCAGCCAAATGAGTGGCTTTTTAAGCTTTGATCAATGGTAATGCTCAATTATGTGACGATCACACAGACTACCATCAGTTTCCATGACCAGGCCAGATTTTTCACAAATTCCCTGCCTTTTCCAGAACGGTCTATATTCCATGACTTTTCCAGGTTTTCCAGGTTAATAGATACCTTGTGAACACAATAAATAATGTGGAACAATACTTTTCCTGGTGATGTAGCCCAAAATGATGAGAACAGCTTACATTCCGAGTTCGTCGTTCCCTTTTGTGTGGTAGCATGTAATATACTAACTTTGTATATTAAAGGAAAATGCAACAAGTGACCAGCAAAGTTGATTTCTTCTTTCACATTTTTCTAACCTAGCGGAATTTCGGTGCGTCGTACGACGTGTGGACGTTCGAGACGGCTTTAGTTTACTGTAGTGGACAATCAATCAAAAGATCACTTAATTGCTTGCCCAGAACAGCCAGACGGCTTTTTAGATGCTAAGGAGCTTATAACTGAGGGGTTTGTCCCTCCCTCTTTCTCGCGGCGTCCACACTCCCACAGCTCATGCACATTCCCTACCCCTCTCTCTCCCATGTCGGTGGCAAAAAAAGACCACGGAGTTATCGCTGAGTGACTGCGTAGAGGCGAAGGTTGTAGATTTGTCCATCATATTCTTGTCCATGTTGTCATTCTTGTGGTGGAAGGAATGGGCACCAGCCGCATTAGTCTGGTAGAGGTTCTGAATGTTGGTGCACCTGCTTAAGGTGATGTAGACGAACTTCTGTGGGTTCCGTTTATCATCCCCCGCTGCTTTGCATCCACACATGGTACTTTTTAGCTAGATATGGTTTAACTTTTTCACATAAACAATAATGTGAATATTGTTACCTAAATGTAATAATAATAATCATATTAAGCACTATTGTTACCATCACGAGGGACATGTAAATATATTTGCCATGAACCTCATTCTACCCAGTTAGGCCACTGATTAAGATTTTTGTTGTGAGGAAGAACAGGTCAGATGATTGTCGCGAATGTGCTTGAGTTAGTGACAGCTACAGCAATGAAGGGCGGTGATGAGCTATCGTGAAGGGCCTTCCACTGCACCGTGCGGGGCACTGGGTGAGGACGATGGCAAACTTTGCACGAGACAAGCGAGTGAGAAGTACAGTAGTTATGGATTAAAATGCTACACAGAATTGTTCACTAGGCCAACTGCAGAGTAGGCACAATTGCTTGAGATAACCATGTCATGTCGCAACAACTAGTCTCTAAAGATAATGTTTGTTCTGAGATACAAATTTGAGTCGAAATCACGCCAATATGACTAATACAGTGGCAACGAAAGTATATGCATACCCTAACCCTAAATTGTTGTTTCAATTCGCGAGTACTGTACATGGAATGAGGCTTACCCCACTCTCGCCCGGGCATTTCTAGATTTCTCAAGATGAGGCCTTCTCATACTCAATTGAACATACTCATGTTTGTGTATTCTTTTTTTGTCAGACTTATTACCAGCATACATTGGTACATGCGATCCCGTATTATAGTTTTCGAACAGAAGCCAGCCACTTCTTGCTTTTTTTCTACTTGTCTGGTTACAACAGAATTTTCATGGCACTTGATTATTGTTGAAAGTGGTTCCGACTGTATCGAAATTCATGCCGCCACACAGTATCACACGGTGCAGTCAAAACAAGAATAATGGCTAAATGATGCTGTATAATGATGGGCATCGTTACATACTGGTTGTACACTCATTGATGTCACTAACATGGCTAGTCTCTTATAACAAAGTAAACGATGAAACGTACAGTCATAGATACATTGATAAACAATTTCACGGCAGTTGCGGACTTGGCCATGTGTGTGAACATCATCTTGCATTTGTGACACTTCACAGCCTGTGTGATCGAAGAGTGGCCGCTACACTCAAACCTCGTTATAACATGACGAGATATAACGAAATAATGGATATAACAAAGTAATTGAAATTCCCCTTGAAAGCTCCATTGAAAAATATGCTAACACCTCATTGTGAAAGAAGTAAAATTGCCCGGTAAATGAATATAACGAACTAAATTAGTCTATAAAATAGTCCCTTAAAAAAACGACCGTTGTGTGTTGAGTAAATCGTTTTCTGCGGAGTTTGACGCTCGTTCTGTACGGATTTTCCAAAACTCCCGCACCGACTTTACAGCCACACCACGCGCGGCCGAGAGAGCTGTCCTCTTCACACAGCCTGCGGAGAGGATTGAGGAAGCGCTCAGCAGGTCACATGACCGAGAAGCTGCGCTTCGGTGCAAAGCAATTTCCCTCTTACTTAAGAACACACGATGGAGAAGCTTCAAAAGACTTACATTTATTCACAAATCAGAAGACATCCGTCAATAATTGAAGTAATCAGTGATGTACGCCTGCACACGTTTGCCTTGTAGCGAGTCAATCGATTTGGCACGCAGTTTGCAAGGCATAGTAGCATGCGGCCAAGTCCAGCGCCAACACACTCTAAAGACGACGGCAACAACTGCGTCTTTGCTGCTACCCTCTACACCGAGAAAGGAGGAGCTTCACACGGAGAGAAGCAGATCGGCATTAGAGAGAGAGCGAACTATCCGCGACAGCTTTCTCTTTATTGTTTTGCTCTCTCTCCGCGCGCCCTTAAAAGGAGAAGGGTCTTTACGTGCAAAGATGAAAAATGGCGAAGCGTGGCACAGGCGTGTCGCAGATCGGCATTTGAGAGAGAGCAAACAATCCGCCATAGTCTTTTCTTTCCTTTTCTCCTTTTCCTTCTTCGCGTGCAGCATGGAGAGGTGCAGCTGCCAGATCGGGCATGGTGCTGAGAGCATTTTCGGAACCCCGTATGTTCAAATTAACCATGACAAGTGCTTGTGCATTCAAATTACAGGGCTTTTTCCCACATTGGAATACACATAGCTTTGACGGGACAACAACGCGAGTTCGAATTAACTGAAAGTTAGAATTAAGCGTATTTGAATTAATGAGATTTGCTTGTGTTTATTTTCAGCCGCACGCGTGGTTCTGTAGCGGTACATCGGACCGCGAGGCGGTTTTTTTCTTTGCATGCTTATCGGTGTGCGCCCATTTGAGCATGCATTGCCACAAACTGTTATAATCGATGTAACAAAATAATGGATATAACAAAATAATTGTGGCTCCCCTTCAACTTTGTTATAACGAGGTTTGAGTGTAAAAGGCTGTGCACCACGCTAAAGAAAATGAAGTGCTGTTTCTCCGATGTGGCACTAATCATTACAGCTCAGCGACAAGGTTGGCACTAGAAAATGATGAAGCAAAGCAAGCTGCTATATTCGTCCAAGCACAAGAAGGAAGGGCTCACTAATAATATCTGCACATGTCCATTTTGGCCCGCATGGTAGTCTACATGAAAGACAACTGTCAAGTTGATTCCATCTGTGCGCAAGTCAATCTGCGATTGGCGCACGCTTGCACTACCACTATTTATTGTCCTTCTACCTCTGTGCGTCTCTTCAGTGATGGTTAGTCAGTGTTTTGACATTTTTCTGGTTTGCCCGCCCTGTCGTTTACAATACAACACTTTCCAACTAGCTCGCTCAACTCTCTGTTATTCCAAGTGAGAACTTCATTGTGGTCCAACAGTGGCCCAAGCTCAACGGGACCAGAGGAGGGCTCAGCAATGGACTTGGTGGCACAATCAACCGTTTTGATGGCTGTGCTGAGCCATACCCAAACTAGTGTACAGCAAAACTCCTTGTGCAGTGGAACACAACCTTTAGCAGGTTCTTCATCGCAAACAGTTGTATTACAATCGATCAATGCACTTACCAGCTCGCCAAAGTTGTAGACGCCTTCCCCAAGCAGGGCAGCCAGGCACAGGGCAAAGGCACGCTGCTGCTGCTCCTCCACTGCATCACGCAAGGCTAGGGTTATGCCACCCTGTTCGAGGCCCACAGGTTTCTCAAGAATACTATGTCTCCAGCACAGAACACAACATCAATCCTACAAAGGTATGCGCACTAAAAGCAACTCGAGCTCTGTTGATTCAAACTTGCAGTTAATTCGAACCGGCACCAAGCGCAGCCCTGTCTGTGGAGAAAAACTCTCGATAATTCAAACCCGTCGGTACCCACAATGGTTCACTCAAACTGAGAACCCCTGGTTTCCATAAGTCTTCCCAGAAGTCAGCCCAGAGCAATCGCAATTCAATACAAAACCAGAACAAATTCACCAGAGATGCAAAGCAACGAAACAGCAGCATTTCTCGGCACATGCGAATTCGAATGTTGTGCTGGAGCTTTTCAGTGATGCTACTGACAGACTGCTTTGAAGCAGATATTGCTATAGAGTTAATTTTAAGACATACTGTGTTCATGAAAAAATTCGTAAACAGGGGTTGTGTCAAGCAAACGTTTCAACAAGTGGACTTGTTTTTCCTCGAGGCTAGAACACAACTATTCTGTTCTAGCCTTGAGAAAGACAAGTCTGCCAGTCAGAACATCAGCTCGACACAACCCTTGTTTAGAGATTTTTTTCATCCAAAGTTTCCGTCTTCCCCTTTCTGCAGCTTTTTACATGCTGCGTTCATGACACAAGAATGAAAAATATCAAGATGTGCTGCACGCTCTTCAAGCATAATAGGAGTATTAAAAAAAGAATTATATCACTCGCAAACAACCGGACTGTAATCAGTAGAGAAAGTCAATGATGAAATTTAAAATCATAGCACCTCATTGTAACATGACTGAAGATGAGTTGACTGCCAATTTTTCGGACGCCAAATTGCATGCTTGATCAAATTCAGACGATTCCGCGACAGCACCACAAGCCCTATGAACATTGTGCGGTCTTGAGGTAGTGAACGCCATGCTCTTGGAGTGAACAGACCCGTAGACACGGCCGGAATAAACCAAGCAACAACATACATTTATTTAACTACTTTGAGAATGACGATATCACCAGCCGAATAATTATAACATCAATTGTGGTCCACACGCAAAACAACCTTATACAATATTACACAACGCTCAAGAACATGACAAACAAGGCAGTCTCGCCAACGCCTGACTCACCACAAGGGCCCCCCCGCAGACGGCTCGCAGTGCCATGCACTGGGGTCCCACTGCGAGAGACAACCGTTCGCGCCAAACGCCACCAGCCAGAGAGCTCAGCTTATTTCTTGCGCACCGCCAGCAAGGCTTGCCACCAGGGGTCATCGCCGGCACTACCAATCTAACCATGATAACAGTGGTGATCAACACTCGCGAACACAACACCACCTACTGCTCGATAATTGTGAACACGAAATGCGGCTTATGCGCAAGACATGTATGCCATGAGGCACAAACTACTTTACAGGGGTGTTTGCAGCCCCACATTTTTGTAACCTCAATACAAACCATATCCCGAAATAAACAACATGAAGGAATCGGCTACCCAAGCGCTAACAAAAGACGTCAACACATGTCCCTAAAGAATGTCCGTGCACGACAACACCGCCGCCGGTCGACACTGCTGCACTGTCCGGCTCGATGACTCCACCCCAGTACCGGTCCCGCAATGGCAACGTTGCCGTCAGCGCGACGAACCGTCGCTCGCGCCGACACGTCTTCTGGTTGCGACCAGCACTCACGAGGGCGCCGGACTGCAGGCAGTTTCGCAGGTCCCGATAATGTCCATCGCCTGACCACACGACCGCATTCCTGGCCAGCAGCGCTGATGATGTGCAGAAGACAGCCAGCCGCACGTTACATCCCTCCCACTGTGTGCATTCAAAACTCTCGAAAGAGCAATGCAGTAGGGCAAAGGGAAGGGAGCTTCAAGCTTCTCGCCCACGTGGTACGATGGTCAGTACTGGTAGCTAATACATAAGCAGCGGCCCAGACGCCCAGACCAAAAATTAAATAAAGGTCACTTTTCCTAGCTGGTGCATCGCAAGATAAAAAGTCAGGGAAGCAGAGTTAAACACCTCAACGCCACAATATTCCTAGTTGTTCCACATGCGACAGGCAGCTGCGCAGAGCCTTAGGCCTAATGAGTCGCTTCACAACAACCGACACCCACCCAGCACCCAGCCTAGGTGCAGAAGAGGTAGCCGCAGTGAGACATCCACTCTGAAAGATGGCCCTATCGCTCACCGCACACAGCCGCTTATTGAGCGATCGGTGCCCACCGTCCCGGACGGTGTCATGATGCCTCGGCGTCAAGCCGCAAGACTACACAGCAACGATGCCCGACTCCCTGAGTCCTAAGAGATGGAAGAAGCTATTTACGGTAAATTGGACCCCCTACGAGGCTTCCGTACTCACTTGCTTCGGGCTTGGCCTACAATCCACGTGCTCTAAGCTTTGCTCACCGCAGGATGCAGACCGTATGGCTCTCTCAACAATGTTCTTAAAAACCAACCACAAAACAAAAAAAAACACTTGCGAGCAGAAAAAAAGTAACTAAACATGCCGACAACTTCAAACACGTCACAAAAACCGATCTCTTTGATCTCAACAAAGCACACCGTCGACACTAGCAAAGAAGTCCCCCTAAGCCTAGTCTGGCTCGAACAAAAGTTTGTACCGAACCGCCAAAAACTGTCGTCCGATGCTTCAAAAGCTCCATGTTGGGAAGCCAGTGTGGGGCCTCGAAATGGAGAGCACCAGGCTCTTGAAGTGAACGGACACAGCAGACGCAGTCGGTACGAACCAAGCCAACACAACACACATTTATTTACTATGCATTTAGAATGACGATATCATCAGCCAAATAATTATAACATCAATTATGATCAACATGCTATAACATAATTACACAATATTTCACCACACTCAACAACATAACAAACACAATAACACACCCAAAGTGGCATCGCCAACACTTGACGTACCATGAGGGCCCCGACGCGCAACCCGTGGTGCCATGCAGCGGGGACCCCCACTAAACACAACCGTTCGCGACAACCGACACGCGCAAAGGAGAGACTCGTTTAACTGTTTCATGCCCCACCAAGGCTTGCCGCCAGGGGTTACCACCGGCGCTACCGATCTAAGCATGATGATGATAGTGGTGATGAACGCTCGCGAACAGCCACCTACCACTTGATATTTGTCACCCCTGAATGTGGCATATGCGCAAGACACGTGCGCCGTGGGGCGCAAAAAACTATAGATGTTGTGGGGGTGTCAGCACCTTCACAACATCTATAAGAATGTCTGAAACTTTGAGTGCTGAAAGTCTACAGCGTCAAATTTTTGGGGCTTCTAGCCAACATTCTAGGTCAGAAATAGAATTAATTAAAGTCCCCATCTCTGCTACGTCCATGGCCTCGTAGGCTTAATTGAACAATTTTAAAAATCATTCGGCGTCAAAACAAGTCGGCTTTGCCGCAATGCAGAAATTCCATAGGGTGAAGCACATCAAAAATCTGAAGGGACCAGTGTTTTGGCGCTGTGAAGTCCAATTAGAAATGATCGGAGGCATGATGGCGGCAAGGCGGCACACAGACCAGTTAAACTCTATATGACAAGCATCTTCAGCTAACTGCTTATTATTGCATGTGGCACAATCGTCGGCATACTGCACCTTTTAATCGCCCACACGCTCCTGCAACCGCCCACACTGCATTTCTGTGCGAGCCGGCTAGTTGCGCCGCACATATTGTGGGGGTGCTGACAGCCGGGCGATGGGTGGCGTTGTGTTCGTGTTGAGTACCACTGTTGGTAGAGTGGTAGCGCCGGCGGTGACCCCTGGCGGAAGGCAGGCCTTGGTGGCGGGCGAGAGTTGAGCGCACCTCTTCTGCGCGTGGCGGTTGTCGCGAACGGTTGCCTCTTGCGGTGGGTCTACCGTGGACGGCACCGCAGGCCGCCTGCGGTAGGCCACAAGGTAAGTGAAGCGTTGGCGACGCCGCCTTTTGTGTGCCCTTGTGTTATGTTGTTTGTTGTTTTATTGTGTAACAATGTCCTAGCATATTACTAACTAGTTATGTATCAATTCGGCGGACGATATCGTTGTTATAAATTAGCTAAATAAATGTGTATTGTTCTTTGGTTTGTACCGGCCGTGTCTGCTGTGTCCGTTCACTTCAAGGGCGTGGCGCGCACTCACCTCGTCGAGAGCCCACACTGGCTGCCCAACGTGGAGCTCTTGGAGTATCGGACGACAGTTTTTGCAGTTCGGTACAAGCTTTTGTTAAAGCCGGGGTGTAGTATGCCTAGGGGGCACTTCTCATTGCTAACTTCGACAGTGTGCTTTGTTGAGAGGCGAGGAGATTGCTTTCGTGACGTGTTTGAATTTGTCAGCAGGTTGAGCTTTTTTTTTTTTTCTGCTCGCAAGTGGGTTTTTGTTTGCTGTTAGTTTTCAAAAACGTTGTTGAATTGGGACGAGAGCCATGCGGTCTGCCTCCTGGGATGAGCAAGGCCTAGAGCACGTGGTTTGCAGGCCAGGCCCGAAGCGAGTGAGTACGGAAGCCTTGTGGGTGGTCCGATTTTTTGTAAATAGCTTCTTCTATCTCTTTGGGCTCAGGGAGCCGGGCGTCGTTACTGACTTGTATTGGGGCTCGACGCCGGGGCATCGTGACACCGCCCGGGGCGGTGGACGCCGATCGCTCGGTAAGCTGCTGTGTGCAGCAAGCGATAGGGCCACCTCACAGAGCGGATGTCACCTCGCGGCTCCTTCTTCTGTGCCTAGGCCGGGTGGATGCGGGTTGTTGTTGAGCGACTCATTAGGCCTAAGGCTCTGCGCAGCCGCCTGTCGCACGTGGCACAACTAGGTGGATCGTGGCGTTGAAGTGTTGCGCTCTGCTCCTCTCACTTTTTTTTATCCTGCGATGCAAGAGTTGGGAAAAGTGATTTTTGTTTTATTTTGATGGGCGTCTTCGCCACCGCCGATGTATTAGCTAGCAGTACTGACCATCATACCA